GTTTGTTTAACTATTATACGTGATGTACGTTTTTTGGGGGTGGTTAATGAAAGTGTTTCAAAATGCTACATTAATTTTTTGATGACCTAATATTTCCTCACAGAATTAAAAACTTAAAACTTATATAATATTAAAATATGGATTATTAGCTAAGATTTATGCTATATTAATTGCTTTAACATAAACAAAAAGTAGTTTAATAAAATTTTGAATATAAGACACATAAACCCTTGTGTTATGCGCAGAAAAGGATATCCGGGTGGATGGAATTAAAACAATGTTTTTAAAAGTGTGCATATTTTGTAAAAGATATTACAAGATTTAGTGCACTTAAATTAGATTGTTTGCCAATACAAATCAGAATTTTTAATCAAGTATAATTACAGTCTGTTAAGCAACAGTCCACTAATTATACAAAATATTTTTTAACTAATTTCTAAAATAGCTAATATTTCATTGCTCAAGCCTAGGTAGCATACCCATTACTGTACTAGTACCCTGATGGATAGTAGCCAAGTCAAACAAACATACATCAGTCTTGTCAGGAAAAGATGCTTACTTGATACCATTGTTCACCATTGCTATGTCTATCTTAACCCTTTCACTGCATAATAGTATAGAAATGCTCAGTGTCCAGCATGCAAAAGAATGGAAAAATTGAGTCCATGCCTTGAGTGAGTCTGAGAGCAGTGATTTTGCTAGGCTAAAAATTCCACCTTTATAGTGGTCTTGTGCGAGGCCCTAGGCAGTCGCCTAGTTCACCTTATGGTAGAGCCACCTCTGTTAATTGCTAATTAGGATAATCAAATATAATCTTAGAGGACAAGATTTCATGTTTCTTTCACTTTTCAATAAATAACCGTATTATCACCCATACATGCTAATGTAACTAGGCATTTTCATTCACAATTTTAATTTTATTGAATTGAAATGAATGCAAAAACTACACTATAAGTAATATTTCTATGCTGGATTATATTATTTGTCATAATGAATCATACTAACAATTTTATCATAATGAATCATAACAATCATAATGTCAGAAAAACATGTAGGTTCAATAAATCTTGATACAAAATGATAAACACCTTATAATCTGAGAGCTTTTGAAGGATGGACCTTTCTTTCTTCAGGGGAAAACTAGAATCATAATGACTCTTAAAAACAATTTTGTCATAATGAATCACTCAATGCCAGTAGTATTTATTACTTAGTTATTTTGGACAAGCTTGATATTTATCATGATTGTCATACCATTAGCCTTGTCAAGTGAGAACAGGGTAACTAGGAAAGTTACTTATATTAAGATTTGAATGAAAGTTTTAATGAGCTCAAGCAAAATAAACAACTATGTTCCTAATTTTGGGGGACAGATCATAATCTAGCCTTTTGCAACAAATTTGAAATTGATTTTTTTGCGGATTTTTATTTTCAACATGTTTTCACAAAATTTTAAATCTTTTAGTAAACATTACAAGTCTTTTTAAGGCAAAAGATAATGACGTATTTTTAATAAAAATTTGCAAATGAATATATGGAGTCAGAGTGTTGACTACTCTACGTGCAAAGTGATTTTCATGTTAAAATTAAAAACTGCTTTTCTTCATCTGAAAGTTGTCAAAATTCATTTGCATAGTCTCTAAAACCTCTTAAATATCCTGTTTAATTTTCAGCAGAACTTTATATTTTATCGTTTAGTTGTTCTACCCTAACTCTATACCCATTCAGTCAATTTGATCAACCTCATAAACATCATAAAAAATATTAAATAAATCTAAATTACCATTTTTTCTTTCTAGGATGACTTCATATTGTAACAAGAAACTACATTTGTTTATCCAAGATAGCTTAACTCTCATGACAGTATACATCTGTTTGTACTTAACTTTATTTTTCTATTGCCCTTTGCATCATGTTTAGCTAATAATCCCACCACACAAGTTGTAAATCACTTGGCAAATGCTTAGCTCAAGTCACCGTATTGAATTACACAAGACCTGAGCTGTTCGCGAGCATACCTCGAGAAGAATTTTCATTATTTTTTTCTATTTTTTTTTTTATTATCATACCTAATCTAATAAGTTTCTAATTTTTATATTTTAGTTACCCTTATAATAATAAAGAATACACAAGAAATATAGTACTCATCTGGATCTTTTTTTGTTGTTGTCTACTGTCAATGAAACTTTAGCCTATTTTTTTTATATTAATGGTACAACCACATTAAATAACTTTTTTATTTAATTAAATACTACAACTAAGAACACAGAATAATAACATGCAAAAAGCAAATAATGTCCTATAATTATTAATTTTTCTGGCTTTCTAACTATGTAACAAGAGACTTTAAAAACTCAACTAAGCTCTTCAATGTGATTCCCATGAGAATAAATATGAAACTAAAGGATAAAATAGATAATGCCCTGTACATAAAACAACCTGATATAATACATCATTTGAGAGATTACAACTTTGACTTTCTATTGGTTAAAAATAGTATAGTAAGTATAAAGCATCAAAGAGAACTATTGGCAATTTGTGAAAGAGAGGATGTGACACGTGGGTTTGGCAAGTGGGTCTCATTTTCTAGTTTATAGCTCCATAATCAAATAAGATTGAAGGTTATAAAAACATGCTTTGCCTGACTAATAACCATATTATAATAAATAAGTAATTTACATTAAATTTTGTACTTCTTGGAGGGGTAGTAATTAAATTAGAGAAGAGAGAAGACATAGAGAGCAAATGTCACAATTCTCATACTAAAGGAGGTTAAAGATTTCTTAAAACTATTTCCTTAAACAATAAAGAACGTAAAGCTTACATGATACTAAGATATGATTAATTAACTACATTTTGTTGTCAAGTTTATTCATATACAATGATAATAAAGTAGTTTAATTAAATTTTGAATATAACTCTTGAAACATTTGTGGCATGTACACTTTAACCTGTCTGTAACAACAGGGTTAAACATATTTTAATAAGTTTCTTTTAAACTTTTTCATTTTTACCTTTTCATTGTTATATTTTTCAATACAAGTTCCTTGTGCAGGATGAAAGAAAGAATCGCATGTCTCTTGATTCCAATGTTTAGAAAATGTTGCAATTTCATCATAATCCACAAGAACAGTCACTTTATCTTCTAATTCCTTGATTCCTTCCAATTTTTCATATTTGGTAAAATCAGATGCTACACATAAGGACTTTGTATTCTGCAACTGTTTTTCCTTCTTCACTTCTTCAAGATCACACCATTCCCACGATGAATCTGAGGCCCATCCTTCTTGGCACTGAAGTCTCTTAAAAGAAATGTGAGGTTTTTCTGGTATATTTAACTCTTCATTACTGACGTTTGATGAAAAATGAACATTTCCTTCTTTAGGTTTGCAATGTTTAAAATAATTAATATGTTCTTCTGACCTTTGCCCAGGGTCCTGTGTTTCAGAGTGATGTTTCTGAGAGAAAACTTCAGGACCATTAAGCACTGTTTTACTGATGGAACTAAGGCCATTTTCATTTCTCATGAAACTGTCTCTCAGGCAGTTCTGAGGTTTAAGCTTTTCTGGATGTGGCATTGATATGATTGAATTCTGGGTAGTTTCCAAGCGTTCTAAAACATGTTCATTATTAACTGCATCAACTGGAACAGCATATAACGGACTACTAGGGTCTCCATATTCCATATCTGTAATCACAGTAGAGGTATTTTGAATTTTGAATGAACCACTATGAACAGCTCTTTCAGCCGGTTGTTCCTGCTGAAGGTTGGGTGAAGTGACTTTTGTTGTTTCATGTGTTTGATTGCAATTAAATAGTAGTTCTTTTCCAAAATCTTCTGTGCTCTGGCTCTCTATATCCAAAATAATGGAATCTTGCTGCTTCTGGTTCTCAAAGTCTACATTGCTGGATGGGCTAGGACTATTGCAAGTATCAAGTTTCTCCAAGTCTTCATAATCACTGACCTTATCATCTAAGCTACTGTGAAAACAAACTGCATTGCTATCATTAATATCTTCACGTAGACTGTGTGAAGCTCGTATTTTTTTATGTTTAACTTCCAATTCTACATTTGATAAATCAATGTTGCTTGAATTCTCTCTCTCTAAGCCAGGTGTGAAAAAAATGTTTGTTCTGGATTCCTGAGTAACTGATAAGGAGTTGTTGCAACTGCTGCCTTCATAATTATTTTTCATGTTACCATGAGAAAAAGATGGAGGTACTTTCACTGAAAGCACATTTCTACACAGCATTGGATCTTCAGGTGCAAGTTTCTCACAATGAGTTCTTAAAGTCTTAAAGGTAGTTTGGTTTATATTCTCTTGTGAAACTGCATTTTCCTCACTAATTGTGTGATTCCCTACACATTCTTGAGCTGAGAAAGATTCCCAAAATTCTGCAAAAGAAAAAATGACAAATATCAAACTCAATAAAAGTATGATAATAAAAATTCACTTTATAAAATATCTGCTTTAATACTACACATTTCACAGAAAGTTCCTACACTATAACTGAAGCATTTACAAGTCCCTCCTCATTGTGTTTTTAACTCTCTCAACACGAGCTCAGTCAATTTGACCAACCACGTGACCTCTTTGTACTCATTTAAAGTCTTTATAGATTTAATACTTCTAACTTTCAATATAGTATGTATATCTTCACAAAATTGACAGATAGGTGTGGCAGTAAGGGTCAGATTTTATATTTGATAGCTCTGTAACCAAACAAAATTGGAGACTATAAAAGTTATGATTTGTCTGAAAAATGACGATTTTTATAGAGAGTAATTTACACTTAATTTTGCACTTTTTCGAGTGGTGATGACATGCTAAAAGAAAATGTGTCACGTGGGTCACAATAGGGGAAATTCAGGATTTTTTTTTAATATTGCCTATTAGAATTAAGAACTTAAAACTAACATACTATTAAAATAGGGATTATTAGCCAATATTTTATGCTATTCTAATTGGTATAACATAAACAAAAAGTAGTTTAATAAAATTTTCAATATAAGACACTAAAACCTTGCATCATGCGCAGTAAAAGATACCTGTAGCGATAGGGTTAATGACTAGTGCAACTTTATGGCAAAGCAGTACTTGACTGTGTTGAACCAAATACAAAAGAATTGTTTAATAAAATTAATAATTATTTATGCTGTATCTGAAAATTTATTTAACAAATAAACTTTTATATATCAAACAAACAAAATTTCTTTTTCCAGTGAGAAAATAGGTGCACTTACTTAGCTATCAGAACAACCTATTCATTATACAGCTGTTTGTTTTTGAAGAAACAATTGCTATTTTTATTTCATTCTGTAACTCAAACCTACTAAAAATACCTATTGTAACCATTCTTCAAGAAAAAATGTAATTGTTTCATTGTCTTTCTATTAAATGTTCTTCCTTCAACTTCTTATCATGATCATATAATTAAGTATGCAAGATGTGTGCATTTATTTTCCTTAACTTTTAAATTCAACCCAAAACCTCATTGCTGCTTGTATTTATTTATTTATTTTGATTTTTTTTATCAGTGATCATACACAGGGTGATTTGAAATAAAAAAAAATAATGTATAACAAACCTTCGCCTAAATGAGCAAGTAAGGATAAATCAGTAGAAGTCGTAGCTTGAGCCAAGGCATCAGGCAAACAAAGTTTGACTGGAAGTTCATCACTAGAACAAAAAAAAGGTTGCTGCTGCTCAAGTCACAATATGCTAATCATCCAATATCAATAGATACAAAAAAAAAAATTAGTATCATAAAGGAGTATATTCAACATGGAAAAATAAAAACAAGTAAAACATCTCACTAAAGAAATAATCTTTACTTCCTCTAAAAAATATCAAGTACTCGTATGTTCATTGTGATTTTCAATAGTCATTTTTATATCACAATTACATCAGTAATTATTTTAACCTCCTGTCTTTGCATTATATAATACCATCACAATCCTGTACTTGCAGTTAAACCAAATCATAAAACTTATAATCAAAATAAATGAAGATTAAGAGACTACCTCGTTGTAATTTTAAAACACTGTTTCTATAAACATTTAACTTTTTTTAGCAATAGTTTTAAAGACATATCAAATAAATGAATTCACTTAGGACTGAAAAGTTATTTCATAACATCTTTAGGCTATAACACCAAAATTTAAATGTTCAATTTAAAATTGCTGTAAATCTGATTTAACATTTCTGATCTACACAACAAAATCTAATAATTATTTATGTTTTAACCAAAAGAGTGAAAATAATGATGATAATAAATAAATAATTTAAAGAATAATTATGAGCGGTTCTCTTCCTTACCAGCATTGACAATAATGAGAAACAAGCAACAGTATGCTGGAAAACGTAATTTGAGATCCTTCTAATTTGACCGTGTTATCAGGTAGAACATTTATAAGGTAATGCTCAACAAACCGGGAATCTTCAGAAAGAAGAACTGTCAAAGCATAGGTATCCAGTAAGCTTGATTTCCTCACAATGAAATTCTAAATTAAACATAAAAAAAAATATAAAACCAGAAGCCAGAAAATTGTTTTCATCTGCAAAGAAAATGTTATTTGGAAATAATGTAGAATTAGTAGCATATAACTGCATTTCCACATAAATACAGAAACTCCATTACATAATACTGATACCAAATGAAAAAAAGAAGTAATGAGATACCAAATTATGAACATGCTGTGTTTAAAACCCAACTAGAAGTTAAAGCACAGTTCATAAATCTCCATAGATTCCATCAGAAGCTACCAAAAAATTTGAAACTTCCCTTTAAGTTTTTTTTTATCTATATTTTAAGAGCTTTTAAACATTTTGAATACAATAAATAAATGTATATGTATATGCTATGGTGTAAATAACTCTGATAAACTTTACCGAGTCAAGATAAACTGCTACAATTTTCTCACTAAACCTAACTAAATATATTCCTACAGTTTTCATATTGATCAAATTTAACAAAAAATATCAGCATGAGAGAAAATAATGTCAAAAGAAACTTTAATAAAAAATTCTTAGATCATTGGTTTGTTCTAAGCTTTACAATGGGATCCTTCGTTATAACAACAAACACCTTGTTTACTCTACTATAATGCGTATAGATTTGAATCTACTTTATCCAATTGATTGCAACCTCAGACTCAAATGTTTTGGAAAATGATACTTGTAGTAATAAAATCACTAGCACAGAAAGAAAATGATGTGAGAAACAAGACATGAATCATCATATTTCTAAGGAAAGGTGTTTCTTGACAAATACAAACCAAATATGATGATTCATGTCTTGTTTCTTACATCATTTTCTACTCATCCCAAAGTTTAGGTTTGTATTTGTTAAGAAACATCTTTCCTTAGTAAACTTAGAGATGAGTAGAAAACTAAAAAAACATGATAGTTTTGGATTGTGTTTTAGTGAATGCTCCTGAAGAAGCTGTAAAGCAAAACATTAATATGTCTTCTATACACCAATATGCACTACAGAAATTAAATAACATTGCATAATCATGAACATCAGATTAAATGCTAGTGTAGACATGTGTTACCATTTACATAATCACGTGTTGAAGATTTACTAATTCATCTCTTCCATGAAAGAAGTGAATGCACTTTAACACATACTGACTATTTATTTCATCTCTTCCCTGAAAGAATGTACTATACTAAAATGGTAAGATCATGTACAAATAACTTAATCTTTCACCTTTTCTCTGAAAGAAATGTGTAACACTTTGTCAAAAGAATCACATACTGACAAGCTTACCCCTTTCTTTCTACCCCGAAGACAGTGAGTGGTACTTTCTCTACTTTTATTGGGAAGAAACCAAACTGGTCTTGTTTGGTTTAATCGTTCCATCATATCAATAGGAAATGGTTGTAGATCATGTTCTGAAACAATGGAGTTGTCTGCCTTCTTCCAAGATGAATTAAAATTGCTGTGAGACTTAGTAGAAGGCTAAAACAAACAACAACAAAATTACATTTCTAAAGGTAATTGTTTTTTCATAGAGATTTTCAAAGGAAATATTAAGTCAATGGTTATGGAACAAAGTTCTATATGAAAATAAAATCAGACTGCTTGTGAAATGTTACTACATTCTGAAAACAGCAGACACAATTTGAAAAGCAAAGCTTTTGTACAGACAGACATCATGCTAAAAAGCTGCTCTGTTAAATACAGAGACAATATATATCAATATGTGTGTGTGTGTATACACACTCTTGAGCTGAGTAATAACTAATATCACATTGAAGCCCCTGATCTAGGCCACAATTTTATTACAGCTACAATATGAACTTCCCTATTCCTTTTCATTCTCGTGTTTATGAATAGTTCATTGTTTGAAAAAATTAAATTAAGTCATCTAATCTCTTGAAAATTACATGATTTCAAAAGCAACTGCTTTTTTTCTACATAACATTACACTACAAAGTTCACTTGCCAATTATGTACATCTTTATGTAATAAGAACATTCAAAGTTTAACAATTAATATTTTACAGATATAGTAGCAAACAATAAACAGTGGAACACACATCTCTAGAGTGAAATGTGATAATCAATTAATACTTGGGCTCATTAGTCAATGACATTTAATAAACTGATTATTCTCACAAAATTTTAATAGTTGAAATAAACAAAACTAGTAATAGTCAAAAATACTAATTTTGATTAATTATTTTTGGGAGTTTTGACACTAATTGATAAAGTTTAACAAACTTAAATTAATCAAAAACAATAATGAGATATAATGGCAATATTTCAGTTACTTGGATAGTTGGAATCAAAACCAGTGATAACTGGAAAACTAATTTTCAATTAGTTATTTTCTTGATCAACTGATTATTTTACAACATTAATCAATGATCATAGGTAATCAATTATGTAGATTAATCAAGTTAACTGCCTTGCTCTTCATGTCACATCAATTTTATGAACTGGAAAATCCTACATGAGAACAAAAAAGCTACTATAAATGGTACCTTTTTAATTGTTTTATACACAGTAGTATTTTAATAGATGTCTATTATGTTATTTCATAACTAAAGTAGCTACTGACTTATCATTAACACTCCTTTCCAAAAGTGAATGATCTTTCTTTGCCCATCTAAGCATTTGTTTGATATTTCCTCACTTGCTCCAATCTTTTATACCACACTTAATTGCTTTGGTGATATTTGTCTTGTAACACTCTGCACCAATGTCAATGTGCCCTATATCCTATTACTGTATATAATCACCTCATTCAGATAATGTTATCACTTTTTTTGAGACTGACTCAATCCCAGTCTCTAGCATCAGCTCTTAGTTGGGAATTAATAAGGTTGGGGGGGGGGTCAGTGAGTGCATTATCCTTACAGAAAAAGTTTGCATAAATCATGGGTGTGTTAATAGAAGACTGGCACCCTAATGGTGGAACCGCACTAAATCCAGAACAGGTATGCTCTTCACCCATTTAATTCATTTACTATGAATGGAATTTTACATGATTTGTAATCACTATTGGCCAGGCCCCAACCAGGGTTGGAATTCTAGGGTCATGGTCCTTATATCCCACATTGGTGGTTTCGGCAATTGGAATGCAATCTATATATATATACACACACTTATGAGTGTATCCCAGCTTGTAGCCATACAGTGATGCTTTTCAAGCCACAGGAATCACAACGAAAAGTTAAGAAGTACTGAAGTGAACAAACCTTCTCCTCAACTTGAAGAAGTACGAAAGGCAACACCCCAAGCTCAGAAATGGCGGGATCACATATGTCTTGCTCAACCTGAGAAAACAGAACTCATACAGTCTGGAATTATGAACACTCATCCTCACACCCCAACTGTGTGGGCAAGGTAAATTCCACTTGCTCCCAGAATTATGGGGAGGACGTGGAACAAACTGTGCTCAACCAAGGACCCAGGATGGGACCACTCTGCCTTCAGAATTACGAGAAGGCAGTGGACCCTCTTCTATGAACAGTGTACTGAACCAATATTGCTCAAAATGAAAGGCCACACTCAACCCAACTGGATAGCTAAGCATCAAATCTGAACTGGTGTTACAAGTAGGCTTCCGCATAGGCCAGTGCCTCTCCTACCGACATCTGGGGGAAAAAAAACATCCAGGTACCTGGATAGGAGGGCCCCAACTTTACCCTCTTCTCCAAGAGTGAAGGAATTCAATCTAACACTTTGCAGGAAAAGCTCTTTTTCCATCACCTCAGTAACTAGAAACCAGATATCTTAAGGATTCCCTAGCTCCACTAGTAGCATTTATGGGGTACTGCACATTGGGGAGTCCTGAGGAATAGTGCTCTGGAAACACCTTGATTTGTTCAATACAATGATAGACAGGTACGGGCAGGATCACCTTATTCTTTACTCGTGATAGTTCATGAGTGGCAGTCCAGCACAGTACAGTAATACCCTCCAATCAGCCTCTAGGTGGTCTTATGGAACACCTCATTTTTACAGAGCCTGTTGCAACCTAGATAAAGTATTTTGCATTAGTAGTTGCTATTGTGGAATTGGTTTGATTAAAGCAGACCTGTCTGGGCAACACTCGCCACAGAGTGGGATCATGTAAAAACAAGGTTAGGAACCCTGAAAGATAGGAATAAAAATACTCGCCCCTCTGTATAATCTAGCGAAAGTGGTTAAGATAGCTACAGGGGGTAGGTGAAAACCCTCAGATGAAGATAATGCCAGATCATGCAAAAGATGTGAAATAGAAGTATTGGTGGAGGTCCACATACCAGTCTACACAATGTCCTCCAGCGGACAATTCAACTGGGCTGCTAAGGACATAGGACATGACAAATCTGATTACACGCAACTCACAGAAGATTCCTCACCTTCAAACAGAGCCCAGATTAAAAGATCGTTGTCTACTATCTGTAAAAGCATTAGTGTAGGCAACAAAACCTTCAAGACCCTCACTGAACACGACAACGATTGAAATCTGATCAGTAAGTGAGAAATAGTGATCAGATGAATCAGTGAAAAGGATTTATCCCATTCCCTGTCTGACAATGTCTTGGGTAAAAAGAACCAGTCTAAGGATGTAGGTAAAATGATAATGCAGTCTATGGACAAACAGCGCAAACCACTCCGACTGGCAATGTCTGTAGGTCAGCAGCAGTGAAAAAGAAACCCTCGGGTAAAGGTAATAAGAGAATCAGGTCACAAACAGGTATTGAGAAAAGGCATATAATATAACATTAATATACCAGTTAGGTTACTAGAATGGTCATTTGGGACAAAGGACCCAAAGTGACTTGAGGAATCCAGAGTGTACTGGGGACTCAAAGAATATTTTGTCACACATATTGAATGGTAGTCCATAAGGCCGCCTTATACAGGGTGATTGTGGAAGATGCAAAAACCTTTGCTAAAGAGCCAGGTCAATAAACGAGTTATGATTGACACTTCAGATCAAAGTGGGTTCAACATCTTCTCAATATACCATTCCTGATATCTGTGTCATTTTTGTTGATAAATGTTCATCACGGACTAAACAAAGATGAGACAGATATACGGCAACCTTAGCAATTAAACCCCAATGTCATGCAAAAGACTGCATAACCTCTATGCCTGAAGCCTGAGCTTCTGGATAGCTGGGTGTACCATGCCAGATCATAGCTGCCTCCACTGAGATGGCCTAAGAAGAAGTGGAAGAGGTGGACACTCCTGAAGGTACTGCAGAAGCAGAAACCAGGGTGTAGCTGCTAATCTTGTGATATCAACAAGACCCAACAATGGGTTGGAACAAATCATGGTTAGAGCCTTGGGTAACATATGAATTGGAAGGAAGGCCAAGAGTTGTAAACCCATTCTGTCCTGACAGATTGCATCCATTGACAAAGCCCGAAGGTGAGGTACTGGAGACCAAATTCCTAGTAGTTGAATGTTCGAGTGAGAAACAACCCCCCAGTCAGAGTTGCAAAATTAGTATGTGTGTATTTTATAGCAAAGCCAAATCTGGCTATCTGCTGTGTCCACTAAGAGGAATTGAACCCCGATTCTATGGCTGTAAATCTGTAGAATTACCGCTGTCCCACTGGGGGACTGCAAAATGAAAGCAAATCCAACAGAACCTAGCAATGCAGCATCTATTCTATTGGGAGAATCTGTTTGGGTTGAGACAATTGATCTGCTACCACAGTCATCACCTATGGAACATGGCAAGCTAGTAGGGTGATATGATAGGAGTGGTCCCAGGAAAGGAGGTCCAAGATTCAAACACGATGCACCCTAGACCAAGTGCCTCCTCGATGAGAAACACAAGACACCACCACAGAATTGTGAAAGTGAAGCCTGATGATTTTCCCCCTTAATAATCCCAGACCATGAGGCATTGCATTTTGAAGCGCAAGATGGACAAAAAACCTGTGTAGGGAAGGCTCTCCATCCATGTGTAAACCTTGGAATTCCTGACTGTTGGTATATACACTCTATCCCTGAAGCATGGCATACGTGAAGAGATGGAACGCTGGACAAAGTGGTGACAGTGTCCCAACTTAACAACCCCCTCAAGGTCGAAAAATGATCCTGAAAGAGGAAACTGGGAAATCCAGGAAATCAATGTTTACAATCCCTTGGTCGCATAAGGACTATTAAAAAGAATCTCTTGTGCTCTCATCCCAAAGGCATGAGGGATTTGAGTGATGCCCAAATTTCCAGAAGAGAAAGAACCATCATGCTTCCATGCAGTGGGAGAAGGAGAGGTGAGTAAAAGTCGGGCTTCCCATTCCTTAGCATGGGGCCAGATGGGGGTCAGCTGAGCCTGACTGAGACACAATTAAAAATAAATACCCAGACTGATGATATATTGAATTGGTGCAAGAATAGATGTCTCAGCTCTGAGAAGGAAGTCTGCCTTGGTTGTTTCTGAAAGAAGAATCAGGATGTAATGTTCTGGCAATTCACGAGATGTTGCCAGCAAAAACCAGTTCCCTATGG